AACAGTCATGCATTGAGTGACCAAATTTTTTTAAAAAGGGATTTTTGCCCCCTGGAAAAGCGGTCTACCAATCAACTAACAACCAGGTTCCTATTTACTGCTAGGTAAACTGAGGCATGTGGAGTAAGGAAATTTGCCTCAGGTTTTGCCCTGCCCAGGAAACAAACTCCAGGTCCTCTTGTTTGCGAGCGAGTGCTCTAACCACTAAGCTACAGGACTCCATACGTTTTACAGCGCATTATGTTAATAATAATAATCCTTGCATTTGATATAGCGCTTTTCACGTCTTCTAGACATCCCAAAGCGCTTCACAGAATATGCTGTAAAGTGAATTGACTGTATATTTGTGGGTGAAATGCGGCAGCCAATTGTGCACGGCAGTGTACCACAAACAGTCGTGGATTGAAAATAACCAATTTATTATTGTTTTGTTTTGGAGGGATTATTATTAGGCGTGTGGAGTAAGGAAACTTGCCCAAGGTTTCTGCCTGGAGTTGAACCCAGGTGTCTCGCTTGCAAGGCGAGTGCTCTAACCACTGAGCTACAGGACTCAGGGCTACAGTTGTTTTGAAACAACTCAAAAGCGTTTCACAGGAGTTACTGCAAAATATAATGACTGTATTTTCAGGCATCCTAAGGTCACTGTTTCTGGGTTGTTGAGGCCAAAAGTATCAGAAAGTACCCTTTACACAAAGGCTAATCAACTGTTGGATTCAGGAGTGGACTGGCTATTTGGGAAATCGAGAAATATTGCACGAGCGCCATTAGGGCTCTTCCACCCAGCACAGGAGCAGCTACTTTTCTCCTTGAGCAAGTGCATTTCACACCGTGACTTGCCACATGGTGGGAGACCCGGGGAGCCTGGAGGAGACCAGAGCGACTGCCAATATGATGGTTAGTGTACTAGTAATAGACTGTCGTCTATCCGGCCAGCTTCCCTCAACCCAAGCCCTTGGTGACCTATGCCTTCTGTGCCAGGGTTCGGATGATACTGATATGAGAGGACCTTTGCGTGTTGTTTTATGCTTTTTGACACTGGCACCTCAAGAGTCAACGCCCTCCTTTCTCCATGAAAATCCAAAGTCCTTTCAGGGAGCCAGTCCATCATTGCCCATAACCAATTACCAGGAAGAGTGATAGCCATCAGGTCACTGGACCTATTCAAAAGACAGCATGACTGTGGAATGAGAAGATGTTAGGATGGGTATTCTGCACGGATGATTTCAACTGGACTGAAGGGCCTACCCTGTCCAAATCTCTCCTGTGGTCTCTTGCACCACAATTTGTTAGCAAGGTGTCTTTAGAGGCAGATTAATCCTTCACAATCTTCTTTTAGACTTAGTGATGCCTTTAATTGCCCTAACAGTCTGAAGTTCCTGTTTATGTAGCAGCATAACTCTCTGTGGAGTAGGTTCTGCCTTGTGATCTTGATGAATGTAAACGTTGTTATTTCAAAGGAATGAAATCTTCCTTCCTGTTATTAAGGTTTATATGCCCTCCTAATCCAAATGCATCCCCAAATATAATTGGCTGCACTGTGGTTTATGAGACTTTGCTTAGATTAGTTGTTGTGCTTACTTGTATAACATTCACTTCACTGCTAATCCATTTTATTTTTGTAAAGTGCTTTGAAAGGCATCTGCTTTTAACATGAAAGCTGCTTTATAAATGCAAATCATTGTAACAAATTTAAAACTAAATGTTCTTGATTGAATATTCCTTGATTTATGGCACAAATCAAGAAATATTCAATCAAAAAAACCTGGAAACACACTACTAATTGAACATGGACATACCTATACTGGTGCGAATGTTTGGCATAATAATAATCCTTGCATTTGATATAGCGCTTTAGCATGTCAACGAGATGTCTCAAGCGCTTCACAGGATATACTGTAAAGTGTATTTTGAGGGCAAAATGCAGCAGTCAGTGCTGGCCAAACAGTCTTTGTGGTGATCTCATCTCCTATCAAAGTGTTGGAACTGGCTCACAGGTCCTAGCTTGGCCAGCCCTGTGCTAGGCAATGAATTCACTCCAAAAAGGTATTTCACTGTTACCTGAGGAGCAGGGTGGGGGCAGAGCCTGGATGGTATAAAAGCTGTAAACCGAGCCCTGCAAAATCTCTTGGCCTGAAACTGGATGAAGCAAGCTTCATCTTAGCATTGACGGAGCTGCCGTACTTCAGATGAGACATTAAACCAAGGCACCATAGGGTGGCACATAATAGTGGAAATAGTGTTTTATAACTTGGTGAAGACTCAAATTATCTGTATGTGGGGGGGGTCGAGGAGGGGTAAGAGGAGGGGAGAAAGCAACCATATTATATTGTTGGGAATAAAACCTAGAAATTTTCACACAAAAGGAGATCATTCGGCCCAATGGGTATGTGCCACTATGGACAACCCAAGTAAAAGTTCTGTGTATCGAACAGTTTATCAACTGCTTGGAAATCACTGATTGAAAACTCCTGATACTATAACAATTTGAACCTGTGCAATGATTGTACAGATTTCTTCATCTAGTCCCAAACCTTGGCCATCCAGCTGGTCAGCACACTGCAGTCAACTCACTAATGAATGAAGACACGAATCATCCATCCCAAGTTGGTTTGGGTTTCAGCATTTTCTGTAGTTTTGTTTAGATTGAATCTCTGAATGAATGAATAAATCGGCTGTGGTACAAAAATGTTGTCAGTATCTANTTTTTTAACCACAGTGTATAGAAAATGTCTTCACAGCTGCATTCCTTGGTAACTCACTTATTTATAAGGAATCCAATGATTCCATAAACCTCTGGCTAGAATTCAGTCTCGAGTTGTTGTCAAGCAACACAGCATGTAGTGGACATTAAGCAACTGAATGAATATCACAGGGGAGAAAGTTAGCGGCATTTCATAACGTGTTCCTTGTGTTAATGTATTCTTGATCCCTGCAAGCTTCATCCCTTACTTTACGTCAGTGTGCATACGCCTGTCAAATAGGTCTATTATGGTGGACTGGATGTGAGTTTCCATTTATGAAGTTAAATTAGATATTTCTCTTATTCAGACAACAACTCAGCATGCTGCTCCCAAGGCTGCCTGCTGACCATTTCAGTCCCCACAGCTACTACTGATCTTCTGTGATTGAGGCAAATCTTTTGGGTTTTTTTGTTAACAGGAAACCAACTTTACTGAATTAGTTTTCCGTTCAGTGGTGTTGAAACGTCATTTATAGGGTTTTGAATCAGAGTTTCCCTGGTCTCAACCATTGTTCCAGGAAGTGGGTAGGGAATATTTTTAAAAGTATTTTGAGGAGTGCTAATAATATGATTTTCAGATCAAAAGACCCAGCACCACTTACAAGGTATCATGCGTGAGGGGTGCTTTATAAATGCAAGTTTTGTACATTACAAGAGTCATACTCCTACCCCCGCCCTTCAACCCTCCTGATCCCAAACCCCAGCTCTGATGCAAATCCTCGACTGCCCAGAGCATTGGGAGGTCATCCTGACATGAAAGGCGTTGTATATCTTGTTATTGATAGTCACTGAAGGATTTGTAACAAGACCCTCTGTTACACCACAAGGACACTGACTTCACAGAAGTTGGAATGGAGGATGGAGGGTCAACCAGGACGCAAAGGGATTCACTGGTATGAATGCTTTTGTTATTTTGCACAACTTAGACCCCACTGTTTAAATATCTCACACTGCAGACAGGACTTTATCACAAACACTAGGAATACTGGCTACACTGCTCAGTATAACAATGCTAAAAGCCACTTATAACTCAACAATCCACCAAATGATAGCACAGAGGTTAATAATAATAATCCTGGCATTTGATATATCGCCTTTCACACTGGGAAAATGTCTCAAATCGTTCACAGGAGTTTTACTGTAAATGAACGGTAATCTGAGCAAGAACAATTTGTCTCATCTATGGAGATATAAAAGTATGTGTGAGTGTATATATATATATATATGTTGTTATATATCATTCATAGTGTAACAATTCTCATTGGTATTATTACATGCATTTTGCATTCTGGGAGAAAGAATTGGGGAGGGTGGAGGGCAGAGGGGCAAGCAGGATATTCCAAAGGATGGTCGAAGAGGAGGTTTTTGAGCTGGGTCTTGAAGGAAGCAAGGGAGGGCACGAGGCGGAGGGACTGCGGGATGGAGTTCCAGAGGGTGGGGGCAGAGTGGCATCAACAATGGTGGGGTGGGTGAGGCGGCGGACGTGAAGGAGGCCAGAGCCCACTGAGCAGAGGGAGGGGGTTAGGAATTTGCAGAGATAAGGGGGAGCAGGGCCATGGAGGTCTTTGAAGGTGAGGGCCAGGATCTTGAACTCTCCTCTATGTGATGGGAAGCCAGCGGAGTCGGGCGAAGATGAGGGTGATAGGGTTGCGGAACCTGGTACGGGAGAGGACACAGGCTGCAGAGTTCTGGATGATCTGCAGTCTATGGGGGAGGAGTTGGGGAGGCCGACAAGCAAGGAATTTGCATAGTCGAGCCTGGATGTTATGAAAGCGTGTATGAAGCTTTCGGCGGCATGTGGTGTGAGACAGTGGCGGAGCTGGGCGAGGTTGCGGAGATGGAGGTAGGCAGAGCGGGTCATGGCACAGATGCGGGGTAGAAAGGATAGTTGAGGGTCAAACAATACACCAAAATTAAGAGGAAACTTAATAGAAGTTTTCAAAATTATGAGGGGTTTTGATAGGGTGAACAAGGAGAAACTATTTCCACTGGTGGGTAGGTCGGTAACCCAAGGACACTGATTTAAAATAGTTGTTAAAAGAAACAGAGTGGAGGTGAGAAGAAATTTTTCACACAGTTCGGATCTGGAATGAATTGCCTGAAAGGGTGATGGAAGCATTGCAGGGCAGGCTCGAGAGGCCGAATGGCCTACTCCTGCTCCTAATTCTTATGTTGTGTGGCAGCTAACTGATTGCAGGATAAAAGAATGGCAGAGAATATGCGACGTGTTAAAGAGAGTGGGTTTTGTTCAGATACATACCAATGGTTCTAATTCCTTGCGGTCTACCAGGTTAAACTCTGTTACAAAGTAATAAAAGTGCTTATAACAGGTGTTGACGTGTGCCTCTGCTCCCATGGTGCTGATCCGATCAAAGTGGTGAATGTAAACGTGAACAAAGACTCGAAAGAGTCGACAGAGAATCTTCTTGCAGATCTGCAGAAAGTTCTTGGGAAAGGGAATTCCTGCAAAGAGAGAATAGGGGTAAATGAAAGACTTAAAGAGGCATTTTATATTACATTGCTTGCTGACTCAGCTTTCCTCCTCCTCCTCTTCCCCACCCCAATGAAGACCCAACATTTCCTGGATCCACTACCAGCTTCACACATGCTATGTTACAGGCCACTCCACTGGAGTGCACAAGTATATTCTTTTATATGAAAATACATCTAATACTATCCCTTACATTTTTGCTACCAGAGACTTACCACATCAAAGTATCTTGCAGTGCTTCAAAGTACTTACTATCTAGTCCAGTAACCACATGCAGACAGTTTATTGTCTTATTTGATAGACAGCAGTTCTGACGATGCTGTGTACCCTCAACAAAGTGCCTTATCGGGTCATCAAAATCTCTCAAAGAGCCTCACTGGATGTACTGTAAAGTAATGTAAATTTGCGCACATGTGAGAAAAGCTAAAGTTCGATAGCCTTGTAATTCCTCCAGCCACACATTCTGAATTGTAAATACTACAGTACACATCACTAATATTGTACCCCAACAGGGAGACAGAAAATGATCATCCATACATATCAGCAATACAGCATACTATCAGGGAGATAGAAAATTACTGTCTACACATATCACCAGTACTGGACATTATAAGGGAAACAGAAAATAATCATCTCCACGTTACTAATATCATATGCGTTATGAGGATAGGCTGACCAATTAGGGCCTATATTCTCTAGAATATAGAAGAATTAGAGGGGATCTTACAGAAACCTATAAGATCATCAAAGGGCATGATAGAGTAGATAGTGGGAGGGGTCACAACCTTAAAATCAGAGGCCAGCCCTTTCGCACTGCGTTGAGGAAGAACTTCTTCACTCAAAGGGTGGGTAATGTATGGACCTCACTACCCCAAAGGGCTGTTGACGCTCAGTCCTTGAACATATTTAAGACTGAGATAGATATGTTTCTTATTGCAAAAGGGATTAAGGGATATGGGGATAAGGCAAGGGCAGGTTATTAGCTGGAGTTAGATTAGAAGATTGAATTGAACCAGTTGTCAATATTATCCGATGAAAATCAGAAACAAAAGATTTCCACCAATACTAATAAAGCACTTTTTCAAATAAAATACTTTCCATAATGCAACATACATTTTCTACTACACATCAGTGTGTGCTCCTGATAACCAATGTATAATTACATGATGCAAGAAGCATCTTATCAAGTTGATCAAGAGTTTAAGAAATTCAGTTTTTCTGGAAAGTTAGTGACTGTGTTGGGAAAAGTAACAGCCAATTTACACACATCAATGTCCCACAAACAGCCATAAAGGGAATTACCAATTTATCTGGGAATTATTGGCCAGGACCATGGGAGGAACTTTTTAAACAGTGTCATGGGAGGTTTGTGTACAGATAAATCTCAATTCAATATCTCATCTGAAGGACGACACCTCCAACAGCTCCTCTTAGCACTTCACTGGAGTGTCACCCGAGAATGTGAGCCCTATCTCTGCATTTTTTTTAAAAAAAGGGTAACTTTACAGCTTAATTTGAAAGCCCTTTGATACCATCTTCTAATGTTTCATTACCCAGCAATTTAGTTGGGATGTTAATGAAGATTTAGGAACAATTGCAGTTAAAAAAAATACACATGTGTTTCCCTGGACTGGAGTACAGGTTTTCGATTTCAAGATCCTCTCACTCATTTTCAAATCCCTTCATGTCCTCATACCTCCCTACATCCGATTTGCTTACCCACCACTTTGCCATCCTGTGCCTCCGCTCAGCTGGCTCCAGCCTCCTGTTCGTCCCTCATCCCCTCCACTCCTTCAACCACTACGCCCCAAAACTGTGGACCCCTCTCCCTCAATCCCTCCGCCTTGCCCACTCCCTCCCCACTTTCAAATCCCACCTAAACACCTTCTTTTTTGATCATCACCTCCCCACTCCCTCTCCCCCTGACTCGGGGTCAGACTCCACCGCTGACAAGCGCTCTGGGACGCTACTCCGTGTGAAGGACGCTATATAAATCCAAGTTGTTGTTGTTTACCATTTCACCCAATCCAGCCCTCCTTCTAAGAGCAGAAAGTACACTTGCAGCACACCTTTCAGAGATGGAGGGGAGATGTTTAACTTGAAACTACCTTGATATTGGCAGGGACACAACAGCCAAAGCAAGTTCTGAGTGGTTTGTAGCGAGCAGTATAATGCACTCAATCAAAGCAGGAAGATATTCCAAGCTCCATACTATTGATATCGGGGAGGGGGAGTGGAGTAGTTGATCTTAATAGGAGCGGGAGAGAGGGAGGAGTTCTCTCACTGAGCGCACACTCTCCCTGGGGAGAAAGGTAAAGGAGGCACAAACCCATGCTGCAATCGGCCCGACTTGTGTGTCTTTCATTGGATTCTGATCACGGTTCTGTTCCAGGCCCTGTCAGGCAACAGAAGCATCCAGTGCTTGACACCCCGTTGGGTGCCATCGACTGCCCCGCTGGGGTAATTTAAGGTCTTGTGATGCGTGACCCGCTGATGACTTCCGCTCCAGGCCCTCCCTTGTTTCTTGCCCACAGCAATATATTTCCATTTTGGGGCCTGGTTAGAATGCATCAGCACCGATGACATCCATTAATACCAGTTGAGATACTTAACAGTTCTGTCCACTCGAGCAGATATAATATATACTGACCATCGTTTCCCTGGTGATCAACCGCAGATTACGGCTAAACCTTGAACAATTAAATCACAGACTTCAATCCTTCAGTTCAGATCAAATCAGGCAGCATCCAGGAGCTCATTGGCTTCCGGCACCAACCAAAACACCTGCAAAGCGCAAGCCTGAATTTATTAACCCTTCCCCGTCAACCTTACAGTATATGTTATTTAAAAATTATACACAAGAGTGACGGAAAAGCTGTGAAGTCATTCGCTCCATGGATTCCCACAATAATCCATGGGTTTTCTGCCTACTACAACAGGCTGACCAAGTGATTGTTTGGGTCCAGAAACCGAGAGCCAGTGTTATAATGAGGCACGTTATAAAAATGAGCACTTGCTCAGTGGTCAGGTTGCTGCTAACATTATTTTGTAGGAAGCCGGACAGTCAGAGCTCAATGTGTACCACACTCCCAATATACAGGTGGATGGTACAATGCGATACTGAGGTGCACTGTGATGGGGTTGGTGTGGATGTACGATATACCCTGAATTTCTAGCTTGAATGACCACATTAGAAACACACCTATATGGTAACTGTTCTTTCTGAAACAAAGGGCATCATATTTACACATTTAAAAAATCTACACTTCTTTTTAAATTCAAAAAGTGCCTCCAAATGGCCTACTCCTGCTCCTAATTCTTAAAATCATGGAGATTTTGAGATAATAATCATATGATAGTCTTCGCGTCTTCAAGATGTCTCAAATCCTTCACAGAATACACTGTAAAGTAAATTGACTGTATATTTTGTGGGTGAAACGCAGCAGCCAATTGCACACAGCAATGTCCCACAAACAGACGTGGATTGAGTGATCAATCCACGGTGGCAAATGGTAATAAAGCTCCGTTTTTTTCCCCAAACCCTCTGAAATTTGCCTCTGCCATAGATTCGATAAATATGATACATCGCAGGAGCTGTGGTGGTGCTTCTTTATCTCCAGTGAGCAACAATCTGTGCACATCGCACTGCATACCGCATTGTATTTTAACACCCTCAAAGCAATTTGACTATTGAAATACAGTTCACTCTATTGAGGTTCAGTTCCACAGGTGCCATCTGGTACCTCATCCAAGTAGCTATTATTCACATGTGAGCCTTACAATGAGAGCTGATGGCTATTCGACCTCCAATCTCCACACTTGTCATTACCCGACATCCACTCACCAGCAGGGGCAGGGCGCATCATGACTGTCTTTCTCCTCTCTTAGCTCGAGAGGCAATGAGGCGAATTGTAATGCTCCAACCTCCCCCCCAGATTGTGACCCGCTCACTCTATTGAGACTGAGTATTGAACAACAACAGCTTGCAATTATTTAGCGCCCTCCATGCAGGGTAGCGTCTCAGATAGCGTAACGGGGCGGAGAGAGAGTGTTCCAGAGTTTTGGGGAGTAGTGGCTGAAAGCACAACCTCCAATGGTGGGGCGGCAATGTGAGGGACGAGCAGGAGGCTGGTGCCAGTCGAGCGGAGTCCCCGGGTGGTGGATTGGGGTGTGAGGAGGTCGGGGAGGTAGGGAGTGTGAAGATCTTGAAGTCGATCCGTTTGGTGATGGGGAGCCAGTGGAGCCTGGCCAGAACTGGTGAGATATGGGTATGGAGTTTGGTCCGGGTCAGTACGTGGGCAGCAGAGTTTTGAATGAGCTGGATCTTGTGAATGGTGGAGTTGGGGAGATCGGCGAGGAGTACGTTTGAGTAATCCAAGTGGGAGGTGACAATTCATGCACGAGGATTTCAGTTGCATTTGGGGTAAGGTACAGTCAGAGGCAGGCAATATGGGGGAGGTGGAAGAAGGCGGTCCTGATCAGGGACCAGATGTGGCGGAGGAAGGACAGCTGGGGGTCGAACCGGACACCTAGGTTGCGCACTGGTTCGGTGCGTCTGAGGAAGAACCCAGGGAGGTTGAGGAGTTTAGATCCACAGGAGTGAAGAACATAATTTCTGTCCTTGACTTTGAGTCCTGGGTCAGCCGGTGCTTTTACTCATGAGGCCTTTGGGGAACTATGCTGACATTTTAAAATAGAACATAAAATGAATTCTACTGTGCTCAAACCTGCTAGGAGTTATGTTGTCAGAATTCCCTCAGAAAGCATCTAAATTTTGCAGATTGAAGGTTCAATGCATTAGACCTTCCATCTTGGACTCCTGATTTCAGATGAAACCCAGAATATTGGTACAGATGTCAGCTTGGATCAGTTGGTAGTGCTTTTGCCTTGGGACAGAAGATTTTGGTTTGTAGCCCTACATTGGCACTTGAGTTCATAGCCTAGGCTGTCACTCAGATTTAGTCCCAGGTGA